CTGCTGCAGCAGCCGCTGCAACAGCAGCACTGCGTGCATCTACCCCAAAAGGCCACTGAGGGAGCAGCGGCGTCTTTCTGCTAATAAATGAAAAACCATTTAAAAGCAAAATAAATAAAATAAATGAATTAATGAAACAAATAAAATAAATAAAAAAATAAAATGAACAAAGTAAATAATATAATCAAAACAAACAAAATAGACAGAAGAAACAAAACGAGCAAAAGAAACAAAAGAAACAAAAGAAACAAAACTAAAAAAAACAAAAGAAGCAAAAGAAAGAAAATAAACGAAAGAAGGAAAAGAAACAAAAGAAATAAAAGAAGCAAAAGAAACAAAAGAAATAAAAGAATACAGCTTCCCAACAAACTGGACAAAAGTCCCAACGCTGCAAGCCTGGCCTTGGGGTGTACGTACACCCCAAAAGCCCTTTGGCCCTGTTACGTGTGTTGAGGTGAACGTACACCTCGGGTGTACATGCACCCTGGTTCTGCTGCCTGGAGTTTCTGTGTTGGGGTGTACGTACACCCCAGGGGTACATACACCCGTTTCCTGTTATGCATGTGCTGGGGTGTACATACACTTGGAGTGTACATACACTTGGGGTGTACATACACCCTGGTCGCTATGCATGTGTTGGGGTGTACAGCCACCCGTCTTGTGCTGCATGCGTTGGGGTGTACGTACACCGCAGGTGCACATACACTTGGAGTGTACATCCAGCCGTTTCTTGTGCTGCATGCGTTGGAGTGTACATCCACTTGGGGTGGACAAGGACTTGGGGTGTATATACACTTGGGGTACATACACTTGGAGCGTACGTACACTTGGGGTGTGCATGCACCCCGTGTGCATGCATGCGTTGGGGTGTACGTACACCCGGGCTGACATGGACCCGTTTCTGTGCTGCATGCATCGGAGTGTCCGCACACCTGCGGTGTACGTACACCCCGGCAGTGCATGCGCCCCTGGGCATGCATGCGTTGGGGCGTGCGACACCTGCGGTGTACGTACACCGCAACGCATGCATGCGCCGCTGCGCATGCATGCGCTGGGGTGTACGTACACCCGGAGCTCACGCGCGGGCCAAAAGAAAGTCTCCGCCCAAAACGGCCTTTTTGCTGCCGAAGGCAAAAGGGGCCGAAGTTCGCCCGCGCCGCGTCGGGGCCTCGTCCAGCACGTCGTCGTGCATCAGTCTGCAGCAGCAGCAGCAGCAGCAGTAGCGGCAGCAGCAGCGG